TACTTATCAGGAAACTGCTACCTAAGAGAGTGAAAATACTTAAATTAAGTGAAGTATTTTCAAAGGGGGGAAATGTTGGAAAAGGGCGAAGTTTTTATGATAAAACAATTGTATAAAATAGAAGAAATGATTATGTTTGAGAAATTTATAAATCAATAGTGGGATTTTGTATATTAGAAAATTTTGTAACTTTGCAGTTTTGTATCACGGCTGCTCTGTAACCAGTGTTGCAATGGTAGTCTTAATAGCATAACCATATATGGTGGAAGGTGTACGGGTGGATTTATGGGTGGATTTAGAAAAGTATGTACTGGAGACTATACCCAAGCAGATCTTAGAACGATTAGGTTGTCCCCCCAAGTTCCTGAAAATGATTATTCTGTTACATGAGGATCAGCAAGGCCAAGTCAGGTATGGTGATGCACTCTCTGAGCCTTTCCCAATAACCAATGGTGTGAAACAAGGTTGCGTTCTCGCACCGACCTTATTCACAATCTTCTTCAGCATGATGCTCCAAAGGGCTACAGCAGACCTCTACGAACAAGACGGCATTTATATTCGATACCGTACCGATGGTAGCCTATTCAATCTAAGGCGACTGAAGGCCCACACTAAGACCCTAAACCATCTTGTCCGTGAACTGCTCTTTGCTGATGATGCTGCCCTTGTTGCCCACACAGAAGCAGCTCTGCAGCGTTTAACATCTTGCTTTGCGGAGGCGGCTGAGGTTTTTGGGCTGGAAGTCAGCTTGAAGAAGACAGTAGTCCTCTACCAACCTGCACCGCAAGAAGATTATCGCCATCCCCATATTACCATCGGCGAGTCAGAGCTTAAGACAGTTCAGCAGTTCAGCTATCTGGGAAGCATCATTTCCTCGGATGCCACGATCGACAAAGAGATAGACAACAGAATAGCAAAGGCATATGGAGCCTTTGGAAAACTCCATAAAAGAGTCTGGTGTAATAAACACCTGAAGAAAAGTACAAAGATCAGTGTCTACAGAGCCATTGTATTGTCTACTCTTTTATATGGGTCTGAATCATGGGTCATCTACCGTCATCACCTGCGACTCCTGGAACGCTTTCATCAGCGCTGCCTCCGTACAATTATAAACATCCATTGGACTGACTATGTGTCTAATGTCACTGTCCTCGAACAGACAGGGGTCACCAGCATCAAGGCCACATTGCTGAAATTGCAGCTGCGCTGGGCAGGGTACGTCTCTAGAATGAAGGATCACCTCCTCCCCAAGATCGTATTTTACGGTGAACTTGCCACCGGTAGCCGCAAGAGAGGTGCCCCAAAGAAGAGATATAAGGACTCCCTGAAACAATACCTTAGCCTTGGCCATATTGACTACCATCAGTGATCCACCTTGGCCTCCAATCGGGAGACTTGGAGGCACACCATACATAATGCCGCTGACTCCTTTGAGAGTTCACGAAGAACTAGTCTCGAGGAGAAAAGACAACACAGGAAGAATCACGCCCCACCTGTTTCACCCAAGGAGACCATCTGCTGTGCTTTTTGTAGCCGGATTTGCCTATCCCACATTGGCCTTCTTAGTCATCAGCGCGCTTGTAGTAAGCATGGGTAAATGCCCTTCCCAAATCTTCGTTCGCGAAGTCAAGCCATGATGATGACCCAAGCAGAACCTATGCATGAGGTAGCCAGAAGAGCATACCAGAAGCTGAGGAGAAAATGCTAGCATCCACACAAGGGTTGGGATATGTCCCAGTAAGGGAAAGGTGAAGAGGACAACCCGAGGAAGACTTCTTACTTCATCTGAGGAAGACTCCTTACTTCATCGGAACGATCACCAGACGACCACCAGAGGGGCTGCGCAAGCGTAGAAGAGGCTGATGATGTAACATTTCTGATGTGGCAATCCTTAATGCATATGCATTAGCTAATGTTGTAACTCGTGCTAAATGTGCATAAATTGCGAACACGATGTGACGAGGTTGGAACCAGATTTGGGTGCGTACCCCTGGTTTCCCAGCGCTGCAATAAAGCACCTCATATAACCATTCCGGTGGTTATGTGTTTGTTCCTACGCTAACAATGCCACAGAGAGACTACCAAGCTTCATACAGCCCACTGACTATTACCCACTGCTGCTGTTTCACATAGGCACCGCAGATAGAACCAGGAGTAGTGTGAGGACTATCAAAGATTACAGAGCACTGGGAGCGGTGGCAAGGGATGCTGGAGCACAGGTAGTTTGTTGTTTTGTTGTTGTTGGTTTTTTTTGCCATCAATCCCCCCAGTCAAAGGGAAGTGGCTCCAAAGGGCCAATCAAATCTGGCAATTGCCTGGGAAAAGGGTGTGAGGAGCTGAATGGTGTCTCCACCATCCATTGCCCCAGAGATGAGTGGGAAAGAACTGAGATAAGACTCATCTGTCCATTATCCCAAGGATTGGTGTGAGGAAGTGCTGCCCATTATCCCAAGAACTGCTGCAGACAGGTGCAGCTGAAGAGCTGGCTGCAAGACCAGCGAAACTGGTCCACCAGGAATGTGCAATATGTCACATTAAGAACAGAGGTGCTCCCCCCCCCTCCCCAGCTCGTTATAAAGGGGGGAAAAGGTAATCACCAAAAGAAGAGATCGCCATGTGAGGACAACTCCAGAAGCACACCTTCAAAGAGACATCGCCATGTGGGCAACTCCATCAGGGCAGCTACATGAACGTACCTTTAAGGGGACAACTCCGGAAGGACACCTCCTCGAGGACACCCACCTCCAACGACTACTACAGACTCTTGGAGACGCTCTGCTGTGACACTGACTATGGACCCTGGAGGACTCCCACCACCTCAGATGACGACGGATCCCCAGGACACCGCTGGATCCATAGTGATGACTACCTCCCTCTCTCTCTGCAGCCCGGATCCTAGCTTCTTTTCTCTTTTTTCCCCCCAAGCTGTCCTATTGCTATCCCCTTTATTACAATAATTTCCCTTTTTTATAGTAATTGTCTTTTTGCAATAAATCAAATTACGGTACTTGACCTCATTTGCATCTTAATTTCACTCTTAGGATTATGAACAAAACAGGGTCCGACACTGGGGTTTTCTCCAGCGCTCAACATGGAACAGAACAGAAGCAAGGACATACCAGTTGCTAACTCAGTACTAGGACCTTCTGAGCATGCACAAGCACTGAGGTCATTCAGTAAACACAAGGAGGAAGACCATCAGCGACCACCAGAGACCCCCACTCAGCAAGAAAACACACGTGTAAATAGAATGCACATGTTATAATTAGTTCCTGGAAGTCTCATGAATATGTAAATAATTTCATAGAAAAGCTGTAAATATGCACAAGTACGATAAATATATAACTGCTGCTGGCGAGTAACGGGTGAACTCACCTTTGCAAAATGATTAATGTGTGCACCCAGCGCTACAATAAAGAATGCTGCTTTCTAAAACTCCCAATTGAGTCTTAGAGAGTTTCTCTGACTATCATCATCATCATGGCTTGACTTCGCAAACAAAGATTTGGGAAGGGCTTTACCCACGTTTACTACAAGCGTGCTGATGACTAAAAAGGCCAATGTGGTATAGGCAAATCTCTGACTAACTTTTATGGTAACAGCACAACACCCTTGTCTCTAAACTGGTGAGACAAATTTGATGGATAGACCACCACACACATAAAGAACTGGCTGGATGGCCACATGTAGAAAGTTGTGGTCAGCGGCTCAATGAACAAATGGAGACCAGTAACAATCAATGTCCCTCAGGGGTCAGCATTGGGACTGGTGCTGCTCAACATCTTTGTCAGCAACATGGACAGTGTGATTGAGTGCACCCTCAGCAAGTTTACTGATGACACCAAGCTGTGTGGTGAAGTCAACACACTGGAGGGATGCCATCCAGAGGGACCTTGACAGGCTGGAGAGGTGAGCCAGTGCAAACCTCATGAAGTTCAAGAAGGCCAAATGCAAGGTCCTGCACCTGGGTCGGGACAATCCCAAGCACAACTGCAGGCTGGGCAGAGACTGGATTGAGAGCAGCCATGAGGAGAAGGACTTGGGGGTGTTGACTGACAAGCAGCTCAACATGAGCCAGCAGTGTGCACTTGCAGCCCAGAAAGCCAACTGCATTCAGGGCTGCTTCAAAAGGAGCGTGGCCAGCAGGTCAAGGGAGGTGATTTTTCCCCTCTGCTCTCGTGAGACCCCAGCTCTGGGGCCCCCATAAGAGATATGTGGACCTGCTTCAGTGAGTACAGAGGAGGGCCATGAAGATGCTTTAAGGGCTGGAGCACCTTTCCTATGAAGACAGGCTGAGAGTTGGGCTTCCTCAGCCTGGAGAAGGCTGCATGGAGACCTTATAACATTCTTCCAATAGCTAAAGGGAGCCTATAAGAAACCTGGAGAGGGGCTTTTTACAAGGGCCTGTAGTGACAGGACAATGGGAAATGGCTTTTAACTGAAAGAGGGTGAATTTATACTAGACATTAGGAAGAAATTATTCCCTGTGAGGGTGGCGAGACACTGGCACATGTTTCCCAGAGAACCTGTGGCTGCCCCAACTCTGGCAGTGTTCAAGGCTGGGTTGGATGGGGCTTTGAGCAACCTGGTCTAGTGGAAGGTGCCCCTGCTCAGGACAGGAGGGTTGGATCTGGATGATCATTAAGGTCCCTTCCAACCCTAAGCATTCTAGGATTCTATAATAATGGCACAAGTTGCTAATTTTTCCTGGATGGCACAACCTTTGAGAGCAATGAAAAACAACATGCTATGGCAAAGCACTGAAGGTCTTTGTCACACAGGTCACATTTTGAACGTATTACAGTAGTGGCTTAAAAAGATATACTCTGTATAGCGGACTATACAGAGTATGTATCTTTTTTATATCTATTAACTATAGGTTAATTCAGTTAAAAGAAACATACCAAACTGTAATTTTCAAAGGGAAGCACACACTGAAGGGAAAACAAGATGTTATCAAATACCACAGACAGCTGGAGCTTTTGGGCTCTGCAGAATACCTTGCTCTCTCAATAGCTTCTGTTCTATGCACGTTGGAAAGCTGGCCCAGGCAAAAACGATCTCCTCCAGAAGGATCCACATATCCATCAACAGTAACAATTGGACAGCTTGAAGGGACCTTAAATGTTTCTCCAACTTGTACATCCATTTCAAAATATGCGATTGAACACCAATATTCTGGAGCTAAAGAATATATACTATTAATTCACTGAAAGGCAGAAAAAAACCCCTATAAACCCATTCCAGACAATCAATTAAGCCTTCTGCAACTGCATTTGTCATTCAGAGTAAGAGTGCACATTCATATAAGCAAGTTCCGATAGACAAAGACATGTCTGCTAGCACAGAAAACCACAACATTCTACAGTGAACACAGACTTGTTGCTTTTATTTGAGCACATACCAATAAAAGCGGGTTTTGTAGTTATGACCTCATAGGTCTTTGTACAGTTTATTATTCCGGTTACATTTTGCAAGTCATCTGCATTCCTACACCTTATGACTATTGCTTGATTTTGTCCTCCCTTAGCATAAGTAATACATATACAGGGAGCCCAAAGAAGCTGTGGCTTCCCCAGCCCTGGAAGCGTCCAAGGACGGGTTGGATTGGGCTTTGAGCAACCTGGTCTAGTAGAAGGCATCCCTGCATATAGCAGGGGGTTGGAACTAGATGAGCTTTAAGGTCACTTCCGACCCAAATCATTCAATGATTCTACATGTCTATTCATGGCTAGGCTGACAGAAACTAACTCTGAAACAGATGTGGTTTAAGATGTAAGAGAAACTACCTTCTAGGTGAAGTCAGTTTTCTCTGTCACAAAATGGTTCCTTCTCCTTCCTTTCTCCCCTTCTGAATATGTATCTCACAAATTTCAGAGTACTTGATACAAAATAAACACCAAACTAACAAAACCAAACCAACAAACAAAATTACACTCCCCCCCAAAAAAAAACAAACCCCAAAACAAAACCTACAGAAACAAAACAAAACAACAACAACTCCAAGCCAATAAAAGTACCCCAACCCAGACTTAAACCAGAAAGTTAGCAGCTTCCACAATATTAGCATTACATGTTAGATTCTGCTTACCAGGATGATTTGATATAGGAGGCTGGAATGCAAGTTCATTGTGAACTGGCCCTTTAAAAGAAAACATGCAATTTGCTTTACATGAGGAATAATAAGGGTTTCTTTCTTGTTTTCCTACAAAAAAAGACTTTTGAGGATACCACATGTTAAAAAACTCAATTTCTGAATCACTTGGCAAAATCTGACAGGGGAGAAAAACGCTCACAGAAAATTACACTCATAAAGGTTTCCTAAAAACTCAGGAGTCAAGTAGAGCAAAGAGCTCTATTAGTATCCCAGAAAGAAAGGCTGCATGCTGCTCAAGCCAGACCCAGCACCAGGAGAGAGCAGAAACCAGATTTAGCAGAGATGTAACAGAAATAGGACTTAAACTTCACATCTGCCCCCAAATTGGGCAAGGAAAGAATCATTCTTGTCCTGGGTTCAGCTGTAACAGCTATTTTTCTCCTTAGTTACTAGTGCAGTGCTGTGTTTTTGACTTTAGTCTGACAACAACACTGATAACACACCAATGTTCTTAGTTGTTGCTAAGTAACTCTTACTCCAATCAAGGACGTTTTCAGTCTCATGCTCTGAAAGTGAGGAGGGGCACAAGAATCTGGGAGGGAGCAGAGACAGAACACCTGACCCACACTAGCCAAAGGGGTATTCCATACCACAGCACGTAATGCCCAGTATATAAAGTGGGGGGAGTTACCTGGAAGGGACCAATTGCTGTTCGGGTCAGGCTGGGTATTGGTGGGTGTGTGGATTATGCATCACTTGTGTTTATTGGGTTTTTTTCCCCCCTTTTTTATATTCTCTCCTCCTGTTACTTCCCATATAATTATTATTAGTAGTACTTTTATATTATACTTTATTTATTGGACTGTTCTCATCTCAACCCATAGGGTTTGCCATCTTTCAGTTCTCCTCCCCATCCTGCCGAGGGACTTGGGGTGGTGGGGGGAAGTGAGCAAGCAGCTTTATGGTTCTTCCAAGTTACCGGCTGGGCTTAAAGCATGACAACTGTATGGAGGCATGTGATATACATCTGTCAGAAACCACACCTCATAATTTATCAATCACAGAATAAGTTGCCCTGCATGCTGTGGACTTGACCATGGGAAACACTCCCTGAAGACTGAAAAAAGCCCTAGAGAACTCATTTTCTTAACAAACAAACAAAAAAAACAAACAAGAAAACCACCAAAATCCCACAAAAAAACAAACCAACAAACAAAAACACCCACACACACCCCCATGCCCCCCAAAAAAACCAACTCACAAGCAAATAAAAAAAAAACAAAACAAACCAAAACCAGAAACCCAAAACTGAATACTGTCTTGGTATCAGTCAGCTTATCCTCTCCACTTTTATAAACTAACTAGGTCCTTTACAGACAGCAGAGAACAAAAAACGTAAGACTTAAACATAGTATTATAACAGCGGCTTTTGCGATAAGATGTCCAAACAGGCACAACATTGGTAGGTGTCAAAACATGCCACTATCTGAAGGGAAAATGGCAGCAGCCAAGATAAGCTCTTTGTGGTATCACCAGCCAGTTACAAATATTAATTATGCAGACACATGCACTCAGAAGCATTTATAGAATATCTACAACACCACTAAAGTTTTATATCCTGGTACTTCCAAAATGTAAGATAAATTAAGCGGGATCATGACAGAACAAAATAATGTAACTTAATAACCGTATCTAAACTACAATTTTCTTGGGAAGAGACAAGGTGAAAAGCCATTCTAACATTAACTCACAGTGCATTCTCCCCTCCACTAACAAAGGCGGCTGCAAACAGGTGATCTGGTTAAATACTATATTAGGAAATAAAGAACTGTTTAGCCTTTTGCCACAAAATTTAGAAAAGCTTGTGTTTGGGTGGGATTTTTTTTGCATAATACTCTTATAATGCATATACTTAAAAGAAAAATATCCAAACAACATATTCTGAATCAACTTCATTTGCCTCAAAGGAAATAAAACAAGACTGCAAAGCTTTAAAAAACAGGTTTAGAAGGGAAATTATAATTTTGTTAGATAGTAAGACATCTATAATATAGATGGTATCACTATAGCTACCTGGATTTCTAATCTCTGCTGCTTTAACAGAGGAAAGTAGTCTATTAAGCTCTGATACTTATTTGTCAGAATATACTAAACACAGTAATGGTAGTTCTGTAACAAAAAAGGATTTGGGGGTAAAGAATCATCACAAGGGACGATTCAACAAAATTGAAAACAAAGTAAGCAATGTGAAAATCTGTACTACTTACAGTAATGTCCAGGATGCATAGGTGGATGATGCTGAAGATGGCCATTCTGGTGGTGAGGCATGGTAGGTGTGTAGGCTGCCGTCCGACTCCCAGTCCAAGTTGTAGTACTATCTAGAAAGAGAAAGGAGCAGTTGGTTAAGGGGGTTTTTCCACATCTCAATTCTAATCCTCTATTTCTCCTGAACATTTGGAAACTGGTTTTAGAAAACTGAGAGTGCACATATGTATATACTCACTGTGATGGTAAGTAGCTGGCTGAGCTGTAAACCCATTCTGCGGAGTTCCTGGCTGAGGCCCTGAAGCAATCTCTAAGAGTCCATCACTATGGCTACCTGTCAATATACTGATAGGTTGACCTGGTAAAAGAAGACTACCTATTTGTGAACATTCAACAATTTCAATTAAGAAGAGCGAGCTCAACACTACTGGGTAGTAAAATGCACCCAACTACGGGTACTGCATGACACGGTTCCTACAAGTTTGGTTTCAGTATTTTTTCCCATCTTCCAGTGTCTTAGGAAACTTGAAGCAACATGCTCTGCATCAGCTAATTTTGACTCTGACATCCTTAATATTTTACAAGTATGCAGAGAACTCTGTTCATCAACCGCATCTTTGTGTCGTTCGCATCTCTTTTCAGCTTAAAAGGAAAGAAGAGATGTTACAGGTTTTATTGAATAACATAGCTGAAGTAGATTTGGTATGAATACAAACAGGCCAACAGTAGGTCCATTAAGTCGATTTTTTTCAGCATGTTGTAACTACTGTTCCTAAGGAAGACATTCACTTAAATTTACATTCTTTAAAACATATACTGAACGGTATTTTAAAATAGCACTTGAACAGGGCTGCACACATCACTGGACTCCCTCCTGAGAAAGTTGCTGGGTTGTTTTTTTTTTTTCCTCCCAAATAAATACTTCAAGAATTCTCTAAGCTTTAAAGTAAAAGTACAGATATTCCAGAAAAGGTTAACAGAATTTGATTTTAAAAGGCTTCAACTCAGCCATTAACACTAAACTGATCAGGAGTTTCACAAGTACATTTGCACTCTCAGACTGGTGTAGCTAGCAGAACTTCACACATTGAAAACTTGAACTAAAACCTAAAATCCAAGCTTTTTCCTGTCCACTGGGCTCCAACAATTATAGCACTGATGAGAAAAAGTTACTGACTATAAACTGTTATACAAAGGCAATAAAATTAAACCACCTATCCTGTTCTCTCTGCTGGAGAGAGATGTCATATCTTAGCTTGGTGTCCTGGGTTCAGCTGTAGAAGGCATTTTTCTCCTTAGTAGCTGGTGCAGTGCTGTGTTTTTGGCTTTAGTCTGAGAACATTGGTGTCTTATCATGTATTTTTAGTTGTTGCTAAGTAAAGTTTACTTCAATCAAGGACTCTTTCAGTCTCGTGCTCTGCCAGTGAGGAGGGGAAGCCTTGAGGAAGCAGAGACGGGACACCTGACCCAAAATAGCCAAAGGGGTATTGCATACCATCATGCCCAGTATATAAACTGGGGGGAGTTACCTGGAAGGCTCAGATCGCTGCTCCGGTTGGGCTGGGTATCAGTCGGGTGGTGAGCAACTGTATTCTCTCCCCTTGTTATTTCCCTTATTATTAGTATTATTGGGGGTAGCAGTAGCAGTTTTGTATTATACCTTAGTTACTGGACCGTTCTTAGCCTGTGGGATTTACATTCTTTTGATTCTCCTCCCCATCCCTCTGGGAGCAGGGAGGAAGAAGGGTGGGAGTGAATGAGCAGCTGAGTTCTGAGTTACCGGCTGGGCTTAAACCACGACACTTGGCAAAACCATCAATAGTTTCAGCAAAATAGTCAGCTAAACTTAAATAACATTCTCAAAACACCATGCTACCACAATTCAAATTTGCTAAGATGAAATCCACTATAGTCACACATCTTTGACATTAAAGTGACAAAGAGTGTGTGAAACCCCTCTCCAAACTTCTTGGCTTCCCTACATTAGGGCTGCAGGACACTGTGTACGTAACTGCTTTAATGTCCTGCTGGAATGAAGAGTGAGGTTTGTTGTTGGTAAACCAGACTCTTCCACTTGTACCAAATACACACAGAAAATATTAATTAGGGTTGTCACTCTGGTAGTACAGTGGGCCATTATAAAAATCAAAGAATCACAGATTCATGAGACTTGGAAGGGACCTCTGGAGATCATCTAGTGCAACCCCCTGGCCAAGGCAGGGCCACCTAGAACAGGTTACACGGGAAAGCATCCAAGTTTGGAATGCCTCCAGAGAGGGAGACTCCATGACCCTCCTGGGCAGCCTGTTCCAGTGCTCTGCTACCCTCAGTATAAAGAAGTTCTTCATGTTGAGGTGAAACTTCTTGTGTTTTAGTTCATGGCACTAATGAGATCCCCTCTCAGTCTTCTCTTCTCTAGACTCAACAGGCCCAGGTCCTGCAATCTCTCATCATAAGAGAGATGCTCCAAACCCCTGATCATCCCTGTGGCCTCCTACTGGACCCTCTCCAGTAGCTCCTTGTCTTTCTTGTACTGAAGAGCCCGGAAATGAACACAGTCCTCCAGATGTGACATCACCAGGATTGAGTAGAGGGGGAGGATCACCTCCCTCGACCTGCTGGCCACGCTTCTCCCAATGCACCCCAGGATACTATTGGCCCTCCTTGCCACAAGGCCACACTGACAGCTCATAGTCATCTTGTCACCTGCCAATACTTCCAGGTCCTTCTCATCTGAACTGCTCTCTAGTAGGTCAGCCCCCAACCTGCACTGGTACTTGGGGCTCTTCCTCCCCAGGTGCAGTACCCTACACTTGCCCTTGTTGAACCTCATTAGGTTACTCTCTGCCAATTCTCCAGCCTATCAAGGTCCCACTAAAAGACAGCACAGCCTTCAGGTTTATCAGCTACTCCCCCAGCTTCATGTCATCATCAAGCTTGCTGAGGGTACACTCTAGCCCTTCATCCAGGTCACTGATAAACAAGTTGAATAAGACCAGGCCCAATAGTGATCCCTGGGGAACACCACTGACTACAGGCCTCCAACTGGATTCTGCTCCATTGATCACGACCCACCGAACTCTGCCATTCAGCCACCTCACTGTCTATTCATCTAACCCACATTTCCTAAGCTTACCTAGGAGGATGTTATGGGAAACAGTGTCAAAAGCCTTGCTGAAGTCAAGGTAGATAATATCCACTGCTCTCCCCTCATCAACCCATCCTGCCATGTCATCATAAAAGACTATTAGATTGTTCAAGCAAGATTTCCCCTTGGTGAACCCATGCTGACTACTACTGATAGCCACCGCCTTCTTCATGCTTGGTAATGACCTCCAGAATGACCTGTTCCATCACCTTTCCAGGGATGGAGATTATGCTGACTGGACAGTAGTTTCCCAGGTCCTCCCCTTCTTACCCTTTCTGAAGATGGGAGTGACATTGGCCTTCCTCCAGTCATTGGGCACCTCTCCCATTTTCCATGATTTTTCAAAGATGATGGAGAGAGGCAGAGCAACAACATCTGCCAGCTCCCTCAACACCCCGTGGGTGCATTCCATCAGGGCCCATGGATTTATGGGTGTTAAGTCTGTTTAGCCTCTCCCTAACCCAACTCTGTACAACCAGGGGGAAGTCTTCCAGGGGAAATTCTTCCTTTCTCTGGCCTTCATCTCTAACCTCCAAGGTCTGGGACTCCTGACGGCCGTTCTTAGCAGTGAAGACTGAGCCAAAGAAGGCATTCAGCAATTCCACCTTCTCCTTGTCTTCTGTTACGAGGACACCCACCTGATTCAGCAGCGGCCCCACATTTTCCCTTATCTTCCTTTTGCTGCTGATATTCTTGTAGAAGCCTTTAAAGTTAATACTCAAAGACTGATTTTGTTAGCTCTGGAATGCTAAAGATTTGTCTGAAAACCTCTCGATACTGCCACCTAGCAATATACATGTTTGTTGTCCTGGTTGCTGTTGTAATAGAATAATAATTTTTTTTCCATTCCTAAAGCAGTTGTTCAAATAATAGCCATAATGTTATGTCAGCAGTCAGTTGTTTTAACATGGTATCACCCAATCTCTGGCATATCTAAATAGGCTTGTAACACTTGTGGAGTGTCAGTCTCATTAAAGAAAGACTAGGTCACCAGGAAAAATTACTCAAATTATACTCCAAGTCAAAAGCTTATGTTAATGCTTACAAGACTGCCCAGATCATGCTGACATACACTTTTTCTTTGATCCATCACATTTTCAGTTTAGTACTTCATATAATCTTGACAATCTTACTTGTTGAAGCCACAGGAATGTTGGGATAATTAGTGGTGCTGGTAGTGCTAGCCTCAGCAGGAGCTAACATGGCTGGGGTGCTATAAGGCTCAGTAGATGCCCTGTTACTTGGTGGATGCTGGATGGTTTGGACTGAATGGCTTTCGGCAGAAGACAATGACAGCTGCCCCTCGTAGTCATTAACGTATTCATCTTTCACCAGCATGCTTGATGGAGCTGTGAAGAAGCAAATGGTTAAACATGCAAAGCAAATCTATTTTCAGGATTTAACTACAAATCGCACTACTACTTTTGAGGAACAGCAATGCTATTAAAACTACTGGGGGAGTATTTAACCTATCTAAACATTGCTACAGCACTCCTCTAAATTACAAATAAACACTTCAAGACAGCAGCAGGAAATTTTGAAGTGTAACTGGATGGAAAAGCTAACTGTTTATTTTGCTGACTGCCATCAAACAAGCAGTTTAGTCCCACAGTAGTAGACTCCAACCACGTTTTGTTTTCTAGTCCATCAGTGAGTGATTGGACATGGTTAATAAAAGGGAAAAACATGCTTTTCATCAAGCACCTAAATATATGTTAATGAAGTAGCCAGCAAGCCAATTTCTAGCATAAGAGTAATAAAATAAAGCTCCTATGAAAATTATAATTCATGAGCACAACACAAAAAACTTCATTCGCTCCTTCAGTAATTTTAAGCAGCTCCCAAATTGACTAGAATAATCAGATTCACAAAGACACTATAACACTACCTTATATTTAACAGCGTAGCCATACAGAATTACAATAGCAATTACAGAATTTATATTATTTTCTTGCTAAACTACTTAATAAAACATAAGCATCTATTATTCCCAATCCAATTAATTAGTATATCATACAGGTGCATATATTATCATGTGTTTGTTAAATGCTGCTTGTTAAATAAAAGAGTGAGGTTTTTGTTTTCCCTTTTTCTTGGTGTTTTTAAGTAGCAGGCAATGAAAACAGAACATACCTACAAGCTAAGCTGAAGCCTCAATTTAAAGAGTTTATCAATACTTGCTTCTCATATGCTACTTTTCTGGTTTTCCAAAACCAAAAAGACAAATGTATTTCCATCTGCTCTCTATATACCCTCCCAAGGAGATACACAGGAATAAACTGTATACATACTGAAGAGTTTAACAGTTTGTGCCCAGAGAAATGCAACAGTAAGCAGAACTACTTACCAGAACTCTGTAGTGTCAGTCCCGAGAGATCTTTAAAGAGAAAAAAGAAAAGGGGGTGTGGAGGACTATATACACAGAGATCTTCAACTATTTTTTAATATGAAGTTTATCAGCCTTTACAAATTAGTACTACAGACTCTACGTATTATACCCTTTCCATCACAAATCTCGATGCCAAGTTATTCCCAAGGTACACATTAACTGCAAGAACTGGGTGCAAACCAACAGAAAGGCTTAAGCAAAAGCCACAAACTGTTCTTTCAAGTTTAGAATAAAGGTAAAAGAATAATTCCATTAAGAAGATGGACAAGAGCATGAGAGTAATTTATTATTAGATCATTAAAAAAATTAATGTTTCTAATTTAGGCCTGTATTCTCTACACTCAAAAGGAAAACATTTTACATTTTAGTCCCACTGTTCCATTTTAAATCAAGAGTCTACTTACCAATGCCAGGTGATACTACACGCTCATAATGGTAAGGATTTACACAGACACTGTCACATTTTAAGTCAAAAGCATATTGACAATATTTAACATGCTTGAGTTCATTTTTATGAAGATCAGGCCACCTCCACAGACGAGCGTAAATCACATGAGGAAATCCTTTGCGACCAGCCACCTAAAGAGTTAGACACAAAAGTCGATTGGGACAGTTAAAAGATATTTTATTTTTTTTAGTAAGGAGCAAAGCTGTAAAAAGGACATTTTACCTTATTTAGTAAGGAGCAAAGCTATAAGAGGACAAACACCACCACAACCTTTCTCCAACAAAATATGGAGAAAAAAAAAAAAGTTATACAGTTTACCCAAGTTCTGTACTCAACAGAAAAATTTCTATTACGGTTTTGCTACAGTTAAGTCAACACTGTGATTCTTAAGAAAAAACACTGGATACAAAATGTCAGAAGCAGAATTTGTGCTTAATATAGTATGTATGGTCACCTTCCCCACTATGGATGATGATGGAGCTTTGCCCCAGAAGAGAAGGAACAAGGCAGTAAGCTACACTATAAGAAATTTACAGGTATAAGAACATCAATCCATTATACTGAAAATAAAAAATAATGCTTCTAGGGTAGACAGCTAGCCCATGGATTTATGGATATTAAATCTGTCTAGCCCATCCCTAACCTAACTCTCTACAACCAGGGGAAGTCTTCCTTTCTCTTGTCTTCATCTCTAACCTCTGAGGTCTGGGAAGAAGGCATTCAGTAATTCTGCCTTCTCTATGTCTTCTGTTACCAGGACACCCATCCGATTCAGCAGCAGCCCCACAGTTTCCCTTATCTTTCTTTTGCTGCTGATATGCTTGTAGAAGCCCTTCCTGTTGTCCTTGATGTCCTTTGCCAGACTCAGCTCTACTGTGGGCTTTGGCCTTCCTCATCCGCATTCCTGCATACCCTGACAATGTTCCTATTGTCCTCCCACTTGGCCTGTCCCCTTTTTTACCTCCCATAAATTTTCTTCTTAAGGTTTACTAGGAGCTCCCTTCTCATCCATGTAAGGTCTCCTGCCTGCTTTGCCTAATTTCTTCATCATGAGGATATACTGGTTTTGGGCTTGGAGGAAGTGGTACTTAAAAAATGACCAGCTCTCCTGTACTCCCTTGTCTTCTAGAGCCCTATCCCATGGGATTCCTCTAAGTAGGTCTTTGAAGAGGCTGAATTTAGCTCTCCAGATGTCCAGAGTTCTAGTCCTGCTTACTGTTTTGCTGCCCCCATGCAGGATCCTGAATTCTACCATCTCATGATCGCTACAGCCAAGGCTGTCCCCGAGTCTTTAGGTCATCAATCAGTCCTTTCTGGTTTGTTAGTACAAGGTCCAGCAACACACCTTTCTTCATTAGCTCCTCCACCACTTGTAACAGAAAGTTATTTATTTTCAGCGATCTGCAGGAGATGCCTGGGCTGTGTGTGCTGGGCCCTGTTATCCCTCCAACAAATAACTGGGTGGCTGAAGTTGCCCAGGAGAACCAGACCCTGTGACCGCAAGGCTATTTCCAGCTGCCCATAGAAGACCTCATCAACTTCCTCCTCCTGATGAGGTGGCCTATAGTAAACACACACAACAGTGTTCCTCATATTAGCCTGTCCCTTAATTCTCACCCATAAACTCTCAACTCATTGATCTGTCCCCAGGTAGAACTTGATACATTCCAGTTGTTCTTTCACATAAAGAGCAACTCCAACACCTCGTCTCCCTAACCTGTCCTTTCTAACAAGTACATTGCCATCCATGACAACTGCGTTGTGTATAGAGACATAGTCATGGACAAGGCTACAAGGATTCTCAAGGTAATGAAGGTATGCAACAAGAGGACCAGATGTCTTCTTTCAAATCATTGTGGGCCTTCCTCCTGTTGATAAGTCCTGAGAAATAGGTAAACAGCTGCGAAAGGAAACAGCTAGAGGAGCCTCTCAGGGTTGTAAAGTAGCCCCCAGCTCTCTCAGCCTGTCTTCATAGGATACACTGCAAATCATACATGGCAGTTTGGAACATGTACATGAATATACTGTACTGCATCCTTATGACTAAAACTTCTATGCTGCTCTCTGATGCCTGCTTTCCCATGCTGTGAAAGACTGTAATAAAAGCCTTTTTCTATGTGAAATAAAAAAAAAGGCATATTTGTCACCTGACACCAGTTTAGCCAACTGAAAAAAATGCAGCTTAGAAATATCTACGCTCCCTGAATAATAACAGCCAAAGGAAAGACCAGTATCTCCAAGAAAAAAATTAAAAACATGCCATGGAGTGCAGAAGAGGCAAGAGGCATGGGAATGAACAGAAATTGCATGAGGGGATCGAGCTGTGTTCTGTGCAAGGTAACAAAGCAAAAACGATCTGACTTATGACATTGTAAAGTGGATTTTTCATAATCTTTGATCATATTAAAAATGAAGAATATAAAAGGTGATTGCTTTTAAGATGAGTTTGAAATATTATGGAGATTTCTACCTGAAATTAGGAAGAGCACTGTCAGCAGGTTGAGGGAGGTGATCCCCTCTACTCAGCGCTGGCAGGACACATCTGTAGTGTTGAGCCTAGTTCTGTGCTCTCCAGTACAAGAGAAAAGAAAGCTGGGGAAGGGGGGAAACTTATCTACATGTATAAATAGCTGACTGGAGTCAGGGGGTAAAGAAGTCTGAGCCACATACTTCTCAGTAGTATCCATTGACAGGATAAGCAGCAATGGGCACAAACTGAAATACAAGAATTACCACGCAAATATAAGGGAGAACTTTATCATAGTGAGGGTGGCTGGGCACTGGCACAGGTCGCCCATTTAGGTTGTAGTGTCCCTCCTTGGAGATACTCAAAAACTGACTGGATACAGTACTGGGTAACCTGCTCTATTTGACCTTGCTTAAACATGGGAGTTGGACTAGATGATCAAGACTAGATGCCAGTTTGACTATGGGCTCAAGAGGCCTCTTCCAACCTCAGAAATTATGTGGTTTTATGAAATACCCCAAAACAAAGTAGTGCCATGTACTGGTATCATGGTTTAAACCCAGCCAACAACTGATTTTCACTTGTACTAACCTGAAGCCTCCCATCCAGTGTTCTCTGTATTGTAACACACTTGCTGGGATGAGCTCCATTTGTGGTTATAGCTGTAATCAAAGAATCCAGTTCATCTTTTTTCTCCTTCAGCTTTTTAACTAAACTTTCAATTGCACGTTTCGCAAAAGTTTCACTCTCTCCACCTTGTCGATGGCACATCAAGCTGTGAACAATGCTCAGACAAGCATCATTACTTGTTGGTGTGTTAGTAATAGACATATTGTCCATTTGTCACAGCTTTTTCTTTCAGATCAAATGTCAGTTTTGCGGGCTGTTATGACTTTCAAGCTGATGAACAAGAGATGATCCAAGTTAAGTATTAGAGGTACTGTCTGTTGGTAAAACCTAGGAGGAAAAAATATCTACATTAGAATTGTTTTTAATAACTTGCAGATCATGTTTCTAAAGGAAGTCTGTGGCATCTTTCTTCTTTTATTTTCAGGCTAAGTGCAGGATATTTGAAGCACATGAAAAACAAGCAAACAAACAAAACCAAACAAAAAACCACAACCCTGGACTTCTTGTTCCATGACAGCTAAAGCACATTTAAGACACTACTTGCACAGTTTTAGATATAAGATCATTGGGGTTTCCCCCAAGGAACAATATTTAAATAAAGATTATAGTTTATATACATGTACACATAGTATGTACATACAGAAAGGTAAAGATTATTAGAAGAACAGGCTCTAAATCAGGAAAAGGAGAACGGTGACAATGATTTCCTATGTTTTGTACTAGTAGGATGAGAACAAGTGAAAATACTGACTGAGAATCAAGGGGCATCGATTTAAATAAAATTCAAATAGTGAAGAAGCATGAACACACACCAAAATTATCTGTCATCTTTATTTAATAAGCCTGTTCAATTAGTTCAGCTACACTCTGACCTCAGACTAACTCTATTACTCTTTGCTAATAAGAAAAGCAAAAAAAAAAAAAAAATTACCTGGCCATTAGCTTAACACAGATTTATGCAAATTAATATTGTGTGCATCTTTCTATATGAAAATCCCAGCTGGCACAATTGTCTTTACTTGTCTGGATCCAGATTCATCTGGATCAACACAAATCAACTGAAGTAATTTAAAAAGCACTTCCAAATTGGCTCAAACTGAACTGCCTTAACTGTACTAAATGGAAGAGCAGGAATAAGTCCCTCCTAATACCTTAAGCCTTTACACTTGATTTGTTAAGAACGTGTAGTGGTTTAAGGTCATGAAGTCATTCTTAAAGCCAGCAGACCTCAGCCTTTTGAAGTTCCCTTTAATTCACAAATTAGGAGAACTAGCCAGATTTTCTCAATTCTGAATGAGCTACTTACTATGCTTTACCCTGAAAACTAAAATAGCAGGATTTGTGCACTCACAGAAAAGGAGTCTAATGTCATCGATAAGGTGCTTTGGTTCTTCAAACAGCTCTGGTATCAGGTAAAGTCATGGTTTAAGACCAGCCAGTAACTCAGAACCATGCAGCCATTCGCTCACTCCCACCACTTCTTCATCCCCCTGCTCTGGAGGGATGGGGAGGAGAATGAAAAGAATGTAATTCCCATGGGTTGAGATAAGAACAGTCCAGTAACTGAGGTATAACACAAAACTACTACTGCTACCACCAATAATAATAATGAAAAGAGAAATAACAAGGGGAGAAAAAAAAACTGCTCACCACCTGCTGACAGATAGCCAGCCCAAGCAGCAATCTGGCCCTTCCACGTAAGTCCCCAGCATTTAAATACTGGGCGTGACATTCTGGGGCATAGAATAGCCCTCTGGCTAAATTGGGTCAGGTGTCCTGTCTCTGCTTCCTCTGGATTTCCCCTCCTCCCTGGCAGAGCATGAGACTAAAACTCCTTGATCGAAGCAAGCATTACTTAGCAATAACTAAAACGCTGGCATTCAAAGCATTGTTCTCAGACTGAAGTCGAAAACAGCACTGCACCAGCTACTAAGAAAGAGAAAAATGACTGCTACTGCTGAAGCCAGGACGGGTAGTCTCCACTAATCCCATTCTATAAACGACATAGTCTGACTTTCTTAAAACAACGACAGAAAAAAACACCTAAGTTATTTTACTACATTTACATTTCCTGAGTAAGCTTAAAATATAAGCCTTGCTGAAAATAACATGCTGTTCTCAGCTATGTATACAAAGTTTTATTTCAATAGTTGAGGAAGAAAAGTCTGTTCACATTACCTGAGGAACACATCCAATCAAAGACCTGTTACTTCACTGGAATTTTCCACATTATTAGAGGTACAGTAGTAGTAGCTATTTATTGGAAACAAATGCATTGCACAAGAGTGGGATGTTAAGGTTCCTCGACTGTGTGGAAGACAACTTCCTTCTGCAAGTAAGAGAGGAGCCAACAAGGAGAGGTGCCATGCTTGACCTCGTGCTCACCAAGAGGAAAGGGCTCACTGGAAATGTGACGCTCCAGGGCAGCACTGGATGCAGCAACCACAAGATGGTCGAATTTGAGATCCTCAGGACAGTGAGAAGAGCATGTAGCAACCTCAGTGCCCTGGACTTCAAAAGAGCAGACTTTGGCCTCTTCAGGAACCTACTTAGTAAGGTTCCATGGGATATAGCCCTAGAGAGCAAGGGGGTCAAAACTCTTGGCTGATATTCAAGGATAACCTGCTACAAGCTCAGGAGTGTTGCATCCCAACTAGAAGGAAGTGCAGCAGGAGGGCCAGGAGACCACCATGGATGGATAAGGAGCTGCTAAGAAAAATTCAAATGAAAAAAAGAGGCTTACAAAAAGTGGAAGCAAGGACAAGCGGCCTACAAAGAGTACAGGGATGTTCTCTGGAAAGCTAGGGACCAGGTTAGGAAAGCTAAGGCCCAGTTAAAATTAAACTCGGCTAGGGATATCAAGGATAACAGGAAGGGATTCTACAAGTACATAACAAATAAAAAACAGACTAGGGAGAAAGTAGGCCCCCTCAGGAAGCTCTCAGGTGAACTAGATACACAGGATTTGGAGAAGGCTGAGGTTCTCAGTGACTTCTTTGCCTCGGTCTTCACTGGCAAATGCTCTGACTGCACCACCCAAGACTTGGAAGGCAGACACAGGGACTGTGAGAATGAAGACCTTGGGCCCACTGTAGGGGAGGAACTGGTTTGTGACCATCTTAAAAATCTGAACGTGCACAAGTCCATGGGTCCTGATGAAATCCATCCGCGGGTCCTGAAGGAGCTGGCAAATGAAGTTGCTAAGCCACTGGCATCATATTTGAAAAATCATGGCAGTCAGGTGAAGTTCCCGACAACTGGAAAAAGGGAAATATACCCCCCATTTTCAAGAAGGGGAAAATGGATGACCCAGGGAATTACAGACCAGTCAGTCTCACCTCTGTGCCTGGAAAAATTCTCCTGGAAGGCATGCTAAGGCACATGAAAATCAACAAGGTGCTCCGTGACAACCAGCATGCCTTCACTAAGGGGAAATCCTGCCTGACCAGTTTGGTGGCCTTCTATGACGGCACTACAGAACTGATGGACAGGGGTACAGCAGTTGATGTGATCTACCTGGACTTGTGCAAAGCTCTCAACAGTGTCTCGCACAACATCCTTGTCTCCAAATTGGAGAGACATCAATTTGATGGAAGGACCAATCAGCGGATAAAGAACTGGCTGGATGGCTGTACACAAAGAGTTGTGGTCAATGGCTCAATGTCCAGCTAGAGACCAGTAACGAGTGGAGTCCCTCAGGGATGAGTGTTGGGACCGGACTTGTTTAACATCTTCGTTGCTGACATGGACAGTGGGATTGAGTGCGCCCTCAGCAAGTTTGCCAATGACACCAAGCTGTGTGGTTCGGTTGATACGCTGGAGGGAAGGAATGCCATCCAGAGCGACCTTGACACGCTTGTGAGGTGGGCTGATGGCAACCTCGTGAAGTTTAACCAAGCCAAGTGCAAGGTCCTACACCTGGGTCGGAGCAATCCCAGGCACAGCTACAGGTTGGGCAGAGAAGAGATTCAGAGCAGCCCTGCGGAGAAGGACTTGGGGGTGCTGGTCGATGAGAAAATGAACATGAGGCAGCAGTGTGCGCTTGCAGCCCAGAAAGCCAACCGTATCCTGGGCTGCATCAAAAGGAGCGTGGCCAGCAGGTCGAAGGAGGTGATCCTGCCCCTTTATTCTGCTCTTGTGAGACCTCACCTGGAGTATTGTGTGCAGTTCTGGTGTCCTCAACATAAAAAGGACATGGAACTGTTGGAACAAGTCCAGAGGAGGGCCATGAGGTTGACCAGGGGACTGGAGCACCTCCCATATGAAGACAGGCTGAGAAAGTTGGGCTGTTCACCCAGGAAAAAAGGCTTCGTGGAGACCTCATAGGAGCCTTCCTGTATCTGAAAGGGGCCTATAGGGATGCTGGGGATGGACTCTTCATTCGGGACTGTAGTGATAGGACAAGGAGTAACGGGTTAAAACTTAAACAGGGGAAGTTTAGATTATATATAAGGAGGAAATTCTTTCCTGTTAGGGTGGTGAAGCACTGGAATAGGTTGCCCAGGGAGGTTGTGAATGCTCCATCCCTGGCAGTGTTCAAGACCAGGCTGGACGAGGCCTTGGGTGATATGGTTCAGTGTGAAGTGTCTCTGCCCATGGCAGGGGGGTTGGAATTTGACGATCTTAAGGTCTTTTCCAGCCCTAACTATTTTATGATTCTATGATTCTATATTCATTAGATTACATGCCTTCCATCATACTTTTAGAGAATCACTCCTGCATCCACACTAAAATGTGGTAGTGGGCTTAGGGACCCCTGGTGGTTATTTCTTCATCACTTTGTTTTAGGATGGTTGTCATATTAGTAACCACCAGGGGTTCTGGCAATGCTTATAGTAAATTCCTGTTCTCTATAGTTGCTAACAAAGCCTAACGTCCTTGAAGGTACTTATTTACAACCTTATTCTTCAATCAACCCCATTCTTCAATCCACCCTATTTTTTAGTCAGCTCTATTCTTCAATCCCCCCTTCTCTTTTTCTGTTGCAAATTCTTTTGCAATGGGTTTTTCATCCTTATTTAAAGTTTCCTGAAGTATTTCCTTGTTTATACTTGATGCTTAATTTTCACTCTCTTCCATTCGTCACAGTTCATCATGGATTGTTTGCAACACCAAAAGGAGCATTGGACCGTTATACATGTAATCAAAACCATTCCTGTTTTTATCAGTGCTTTAAAAAAACAACTGTCTCAACCAGGAGAGTTTGGGTTCCCATAGTGTTAATTTTTCCCAGATTTCCTCAAATCCCCATGAGGTGTTGTCGTGGTTTAACCCAACCAAACAGCTTGTTAACTCACTCCCCCCCTTCTTGCCCTCCCCCTACTCCT